TCTAACCTTTATGCCTCTCACATAAAAACAACACATGCTATATAGTCAAAACTGTGAACATATGATCGTGACGAGTGTACCAACACAACAAAAAAAATTTTGAAATTAGAGTGTACAGAGCGCGCGAAATTCAAAAAGTCACCTTACTTTTTGATCACACCTCGTATGTCCTAGGTAGCAAAGTATCATCTATTTGACGTAATTAATTGGTCATTCTTAACGAATCTGACATCCTATCATCGTAACCATGGATTTGTTATAGCCACATAACGTCATATTTAGCAACATCGAAAATATATCATTATAAATGTTTGTAGAACTTCATTACTATGCGAGTTATGGCCTCAACACAGACTCTTGCATAACGCATAATGCATAGCGCATAAGGGAATCAACCAATTGAAATTCTTTTTTTCCATGGAATAAGAGGAAAGGAAACCTTTTGATTAGTTGATTCGCTTATGCACTATGCGTTATGCGTTATGCAAAAGTCTGTACTGCGGCCATTAAAATTATAAATAACGCAATCATGCATATATTTCTTAATGCGTTCGCAATAAAGATTTGAACGTGCACGTTCAATAGATAATACGCCTAAAATCAGCTTTGATATACCTGAGCATGCCTATCAGCTGTGACATTAGTTCACATATTCCTCAAATAGTGGATGATGGCGCGACATATCTTCACATCCAGTTGCTGAAAGTTGCTGCTAGCAGTCCATGTCATGTCAAAGACATTCCTAGCATGGACTCGAGTTCAAGCATTGTAATCATTTACACATAAGCACACATTTCCGACATTGTATTCCACATATCAAAATAAATACAGAATTTATCACAAGTCAATGAGATTATATTACGATAAGATATGTCATCCAATTATAAGGCTGACTGTATTATAGAACCATTACAGATAGAGAGAGAGAGAGATACTTTAATTTAAAAAAAAAAGAACCGTTCCACTAGCATGAATAATAAGCAACGAATGCAAATTCGACGAATCTACTCATTCATATTATTCATGAATTTTATAGGAATAGCAAAATGCGAATCTAAAATCATAAATATAGTTTGGCACTAACTTTTAAATAATATTATATAATGCATATTATTATTATTATTATAACATTATATATTAATATTGTACAATTTATATTTTTATCATCCTGCTTACAAGAGTTACCAACTATATCTTATAAACAATTGATATACAATTGTATTTTTGGTAAATTAAGACTGCTGATATTTCATGTATTGTATAACAAAATTTTTCAATCTTGTTGATTGGCTACAAGACAAAGAGATTCTCAGATCTCTATTCTGCAGCCAATCAACATGCTTAAAAAGTTTGTTATACGACACATGAAATATTAAGCTAACAATCGATAATGATAACAATTTGATAAAATTTACGAAATGATCGATAATAATTTTATAAATTTTTGGAAAAAAACAATATCTTGCTACTTTGCTTTTGTACAAGTTTTTTCTTTTAACTCCCAACAAGATTCCCAAAATTCTTTAAGTCTATTGTCTCCATTGGAACAAAAGTGTCGAAAATCTTGTATGATTTTCTTTTGGAAAAATTCATCGCCCGCCGAAAGAGATAACGACTTCCACTTACGGCTGACCATATGATTCCAAGACCATAAAAAGCCCATCTAAAAGTAATAACAATTATAATTTTTATTAGGCAGTTTGATTGCTAGATTTTTTGTACATCTGATGTTAAGTGTTTTAAAAAAATATGCTGTTCAAAAAAAAATGTAATATAAATCTAAAATCTATTTGATTAATTTTCTTCGTATTTTATTCAGAAAAAAATATATTATTAAATTTAATTCTTATTACATTAATAATTAATTCATAAAAATTTTATTATAAATAATCATTCAAGTATACGATAAGATTACTTACTTTCCTATCTGTGCTATGGTCATCCTTTTTTCCGCCAACATGTCTGGTAATGTACGCTTCGTGCGGACTAGATTGATCCGGATGAACCGGATATCTTTTCTGTCCTGTATTTCGCCGCACGACATTGGTAGCAGTTCGTGGACGCGGCCGAATATTCGTGCTGGATGGCACTAATATAAATGCATTACCAGTGATGTGAACGTACTGACGATCATTTTCGGTATTTTCGACTAAGCACGACATGAAACCAAATCTCTGCAGAATTGCTTCTTGGAACAAAAATAGCCTTTGCGCATAGGTATCTTCTCGGAATTCTGCAAATTTGTATTTATTAGCTTTATCAAATAGAACAATTTGTTTTTTAATAAGATTGATAATAAAATCAAATTCGTTTGGAACAAACCTTCAAAGAGGTGCCGCTTATTTGTCATTAAGCATTCCGTATCAAGTGGTATAAAAATAGGTCCTCTGAGAGGATCGCTCTTCAAAGTATATGGTAGTGCCAACAAATCGCTGGGAATTGGTACCATTTGTATCCCGCACATTTGAGCTTTGCGTTGCCAAACGAATATCTTACAGTCAGATATTGATTATTAGCATTGATTCTCATATTCTAATAAAAAAATTGTAAAAGGGGAAATAGATCGATATTTACCAGATCAGCCACTATACTGCCTGATGATGCTACCCATTGTACTACGAGTTCGTAAGAATTATCTACTTTATAAATAGATTGATATCTTAAATGACCCCACTCGATCCTGTCACTTTTATTATTGATATCAATATCCAAATGAGTGTGTTTATACAATGGCACTGAAAGAGAACAAATTATACAAGTAATTCGTTTGATATATATCTATATTTCATTGATCGAATCTTGACAATTATTTTACAAATATTTTCTTCTACGATATATAATATATATGATTTAAATTCATTAAAAATTAAAAATTAACTCTTCTTGTTTTTTTTTTAAAGATATTTGTAATGTAATATAAAGATGAAGACATACACATAAATCATGTATTGAATATTTTTAGTGTTACCTGTCCAATTTCTATCATCCATTGATTCAGTTAAATCGATATCATCTCTCAGAAAAGATGGAACACTAGATTCGTCAATAGTGTCGCAACTAGGAATTGTGGATACCGTGGACATTGTTGTTGAAGATGTTGGTTCACACCATCCTTTCGATGGTCTCATCTCTATTTCTACCCATTCATTCTCAAAACTTTGCAAATTCCCGAGCGGAGCGGAATAGTCTGCGGCTATTATAAAAAATGCAATTAAATTGCGAATCGATGAAAATTCGATCGCATTTACCTTTTTGATTTTCTTTATCCTGCACGATGTGATACAAATAAAATCCGAGGACAAAGGGTTGTGAGAAGTCACCGGATGCATGACATATCAATTTGTCTTGAATCATTCCCTGCACAAAAAAGATAAATTATTTTTTATGTATTATAATATAATCTGGAGATAGTATCTCGGCGCTAAGACAAGCGAAGCGTCATGGCGCAAGACACTGCCGTGCTGCTTTATGCGAGCCGATCGAGTTGCGGCAGATCTGGAAATATATAGGTTCTCACAAGGAAAGGGACGCGACTGTCTCCCTCCGATCTTAATGACCTTTTAGTATGTTATTTTCCAAACAAAAATAAGCGATACGTATTTTTTATACGTGCCCATACGCACTTTTAAGGGGTGAAACATCCTTTAAAAGAAAATCGATTTCTCTCTTTCGAAGCGGATATCCTCGAAATTGTAAGAGATAGAAAAAAATGTTTGAAATAAAAGTTGCATGGTTTCAAGACTACTTTGTAATACAAAAGAAAAAGAAAAAAAATTTTTTTTTATTTGTTTATCTCTACCACTTAACTTTTAAAAAAAAATTTTGATTTTTTTTATAATAAAAAGTAAGATTATTTTAAGACGAATTCAACTATGTGTGATAAAGTTATTTTCCAAAGTACCATTTTTGAGAAATAATTGAAAACGCCTCTATACGCGCGCCATCCGTACTCCTTCACGCAGCACATTCGTGATGTTGCGTATTTTCGCATAAACAGGAAGCAACGATGTAATCACATCTATTTTTGGAACTCTGCGGACGTCTAGTCATAGAAATTTTTATCACGCACGGCTGGACAGCACTTGCGTAACGTCTGAATGATAACATGTAGTGTCAAAATCAAAAATCGTGTATTACGTAATTGTAAGACGAAAAGTGCAGAGTGTGCATCGCACATATATGAATTACATTTATTGTTTGACGTACAAATTGAATTAATATCTTGTAAAATCGTATTTCTTTATTTAAAGTAAAGGAAGGGAATCGAAGAAAATTGGAATTGACGTAAATAATCGATAATGTGAATGAGTGCATTCCGTTCAGGCATCATATGAATCATTTATCTTTTATCTGTTATATATGAAATGATAAATAAAGGAAAAAATAAATAATACTGTTATGCCCGTGTCGTTTCGATTTGTCAAGCAATGATATAAATGTTATCGCTTTTGGGGGGCGTTGATTTTTTAGTAGAACGTTAGTGGAATAGTGCATTTGCAGTATCTATTAATAATAATTAGGCGACATGGACGTTCCTTGTACTGCTTGTGACAAGCCTCATCAGCTAAAAGTATGTCATTATCTGGAGACACTGGTAGTGTCTCGGCGCTAAGCTGCGCGAAGCTAGAGACCCTTTACTAGAGACTGATCATTTCGAGACTTTTGCTGATTGGTGCACGTGACTTCAGCACTAATGGCGGCGCCAATAAGGAACGCTGTTCAGCCGAGCGCGAAAAGCAACTGCCTAAAAAGGTATAAACAAAAGTAATGTTTTTTTATAGACTTTGACATCTTGAATATATTAATGTTATTAAAAAATTCGAGGCGGATAGAGAATACCTTGAAAATTAAGCGCGAACATGG